CGTTGCTTGAGGAGCCATAGCCGTACAGAGGATGTGCGTATGACAGATCCAGTAGTCAACACAAGTCGCACTGCGGGACTGCGCATGCGCCGGCGTCTCCAGGAAGTGACGTTGACGCGTTTCGCCCACGTCACATGGGCTTCTTCAGATAGGGGGCAGCCATGTTAATAGAGTCCTTATATAGTAACAAGACGCCTTGTGATGGCCAATGGGTATACGCTTTAGAAAATGTAATCATGGCTGGAACAAAAGGGATCAATGACATTCAAAAATACATGTAATAAACAAGATAAAAATAAAGCAAAGGATCATATTACAAAATAGTCATATATATCCACAACTGCTTAGCCACAAATTAGAAATATGGTTAAATAGGTAAAATTGGTTAAATGTACTAAAGTAGGGGATATAGAAGACATGATTCACCCAGTGGGAGATAGCAGACCGACAGACACAAAAACAAAACAAAAAACGGGCAATTGTATCAGGGCTTCAAAAATGCCTGAAGGCTAAATTCATTGTTAAGGCCAAAGGGCACCATGGATCCCAATTTAAAGATCCACTCCTTTTCTTTCTGTAGGAGGACAGTGTCAAAATCTCCTCCTCTGGGGGATAGCTTTAATACATAAATAACCTTAGCACGTAGATCCAATGAGGAAGATTGGTGCCCCACAACATGGGGAAGACAAAATGATCATTTAGAATACGCATAGGGGAACATATTAGTAGTATTTCTAACAACACAGATCGTACCCCAGTAGCAGAGCATTTCGCTCTAGAGCACCAATCTTCTGCATTGGATCTACGTGCTAAGGTTATTTATGTATTAAAGCTATCCCCCAGAGGAGGAGATTTTGACACGGTCGTTGAAAAAGAAAAAGGAGTGTATCTTTAAATTGGGATCCATGGTGCCCTTTGGCCTTAACAATGAATTTAGCCTTCAGGCATTTTTGAAGCCCTGATACAATTGCCCGTTTTTGTTTTTTTTTTGTTGTGTCTGTCGGTTTGCTATCGCCCACTGGGTGAATCATGTCTTATATATCCCCTACTTTAGTACATTTAACCAATTTTACCTATTTAGCCATATTTCTAATTTGTGGCTAAGCAGTTGTGGATATATATGACTATTTTTAATATGATCCTTTGCTTTATTTTTATCTTTTTTATTACATGTATTTGTGAATGTCATTGATCCCTTTTGTTCCAGCCATGATTACATTTTCTAAAGAGTATACCCATTGGCCATCACAAGGCCTCTTGTTACTATATAAGGACTCCATTAACATGGCTGCCCCCTATCTGAAGGGGCCCATGTGACGTAGTGTGCAAAACATGTCAATGTCACTTCCTGGAGACGCCGGTGCATGCGCAGTCCTGCGGTGCGGCTTGTGTTGACTACCGGATGTGTCATACGCACATCCTCTGTATGCCTACGGCTCCTCAAGCAACGTGTGCGGCAGCCACGCATAGCCGCTGTACTGTCCCGCTGCACGTGTTATGCTGTATACAGCCTCTGCCTTCCACTTGGGTACCCACGGGATTGCCAACTAGGTGACTGGTTTACAGCAGATAAGGTCTTATCCCATTTTTGGAGGACTTTCACCTGCCTAGGTTATAGATCCATCCTTACGGATTACAGCAACTACTCATGTATGGGATACAGCTCGGTTTTGGATTACCAGCTCCCGCAGGTTTGAAACTCTCTCTCCATCCAGTCATACTTATATCATATATATAATTTGACCTTTATTAGGTCCTTCTTTGGCAATCCTCAATGTCATATTTACCTGAGGCATCTTTATATTGTGCACAACAGCGGGCTTTGTGAGGAATTAGCGCAATCCTTATGCTTTATGTCTCCGTGAATATTAGGACAGACTTTCTCAGTGGCTCCATTAGTGCTGCACATATACTACCAATATTATGTTTTACAATGTCATCATTATTGCAATGCTAAGGGGAGTATCTCCACTATATTTTTCCATCCACACTGTTGCAGGAGACTTCTACAACCCAGTCTTCATTTCAAGCCTATCTGCCTCTATTTGGTAGTATGTTGTATATAATATAACAGGTCACTCGTCAGAGGAACGACTATAACCCCTTTTTTTTCCTTTATCGGGGTCTACTTTGATGGATATGTTTAGGTCTATGTCTATTTAATTATCTACTATGCACCTTTGGGTGTATTTATATGTATTTGTGATATATACATGACCCAGCTGTCCTTGTTATCAATTTATACTCTTTTGAGTTGTTTGCATTTGTACCATTGTCTCTCGTTCCTCTCTGTTTATCTCCTCCCTTTTTTGGATCATCATATCTAGAGATGAGCGAATCGAACTCGGCGAAGTGGAATTCGTTTCGAATATTAGCAGAATCCGAAAATTAGCAGACTTCGGATGCGCGAATCGAAATTTTTCCAAAAATGGCGGCGACATGTGCGGCGACGGAGCAGGGATCTCTGGGAAGGCGCGCAGACAAGGCGCGCTGACCCATAATGCATTCATTCATGACATGTGATCGCATTAGCCAATCAGCAGCCAGCCAGCCAGCACTGTGTAATGGTGGAGCTATAAATTGCGGCCATCTTACAATTCTCCATTTGCCTCTGGTCATTCAAGAGAGACAGATCTCTCTGTATTAGGGACACACAACCGTTACTGAGGGACACAGAATTGTTACTGAGGGACACAGAATTGTAACTGAGGGACACAGAATTGTAACTGAGGGACAGACACAGAATCGTTACTGAGGGACACAGAATCGTTACTCAGGGACACAGAATCGTTACTCAGGGACACAGAATCGTTACTCAGGGACACAGAATCGTTACTCAGGGACAGACACACAATCGTTACTCAGGGACAGACACACAATTGTTACTGAGGGACACACAATTGTTACTGAGGGACACAGAATTGTTACTCAGGGACACAGAATTGTTACTCAGGGACACAGAATTGTTACTCAGGGACACAGAATTGTTACTCAGGGACACAGAATTGTTACTCAGGGACACAGAATTGTTACTCAGGGACACAGAATTGTTACTCAAGGACAGACAAAGAATTGTTACTGAGGGACACAGAATTGTTACTCAGGGACACAGAATCGTTGAATTAAAGAGTATGTCAGACAACATGCAGAGGAGTGGCAGAGGAGGCGATGTTTTAGGAGCGAGCAGACGTGGCAGCAGAGGAAGGGGTCGAGGCAGCACTAGTCGCAGCCAGAGGCCAGTGCTCCCGGTGTCATCCAGCGGTCGTGTCTCCACCGACAACCCTGCCGTCATCGATTGGTTGGCTCGGTCGTCTTCCTCTTCCCAGGTCACCTCTGACACCTACAGCCAACGGTCGGTGGGTACGTCAGACACAACCGTTCGTTGGCATGGCCCGGGAGCAAGCCCACTGAAATCACGTGTCCTCTACCTGCCCCTGTCCTTTGGTGTTCCCTCACCAAGCGAAGTATCGCATGCTGTGGGCTCAGCCCCACTGTACAGTGAGGAAGAGCTAACAGAGGGCGGTCAGGAACGGGGGGAGACATCCGCCTCTTCAGCAGCCAGGCGAAGAAGTACTGGCGAGGAGAGTGGCTCGGTAGCCGGTCTAGAGACAGGTCTGTCTCCTGACCCACACGCAGCCGAGGGGGCTAGTAGTGAGGCGGAGACCCTAATTGATGATGATGAGGCTGATCGCACTTGGCAGCCTCGTCGTCATCAGGCTATTGCTTCCGCATCATCAGGAGAAGAGGGTGCCAGCTTGGCAGCGAGCAAAACAGTCGGTGGGTTGCCCAGGAGGCAGCAGGGTCGCAGCAGTGTCAGTGGAGGCAAACGGCCACGGAGTAGAGCACCAGCTCCACTGCAGCCTACCACCACGGCCAGTGGTGGTGCCGGTGTGCACGGAGGAAGTAGCAGTCAGCCAGTGAGGAGTAGCGGGGGCAAAGTTTCCTACTCGGCGGTGTGGCAATTTTTTGTCAAGCCGCCCGAGGAAGTAAACGTAGCCGTATGTCGACTATGTGGCCAGAAAGTCAAGCGTGGCCAGAGGGCCCATGTTGGGACTACAGTGTTGCGTCAGCATATGCAGCGTCGCCATTTGGTGGCCTGGGAAAACCGTGATAAAGATACGGCGGTTCTGCCTGCCTCCTCATGCTGCTGCCAGGCCTGTAATCTGCCATGGGCCCCGTACCGCCTCCTCATGCTGCTGCCAGGTCCAGAGTCTCTCATGGGTCCCTGTACGGCCTCCCATTGCTGCTGTCTCCATCGCCACACTCTGCCATGTGCCACTTTCAGGTCTCCTCACACTGCTGGTGTGTTCCATTTTGTCATAGGATGCTGGCAGATTACGGGCCTCCCATTGCTGCTGCCAGGCCTGTAATCTGCCATGGGCCCCTGTACCGCCTCCTCATGCTGCTGCCAGGTCCAGAGTCTCTCATGGGTCCCTGTACGGCCTCCCATTGCTGTCTCCATCGCCACACTCTGCCATGTGCCACTTTCAGGTCTCCTCACACTGCTGGTGTGTTCCATTTTGTCATAGGGTGCTGGCAGATTACGGGCCTCCCGATGCTGCTGCCAGGCCCGTAATCTGCCATGGGCCCCTGTACCGCCTCCTCATGCTGCTGCCAGGTACAGAGTGTCTAATGGGTCCCTGTACGGCCTCCCATTGCTGCTGTCTCCATCGCCACACTCTGCCATGTGCCACTTTCAGGTCTCCTCACACTGCTGGTGTGTTCCATTTTGTCATAGGGTGCTGGCAGATTACGGGCCTCCCATTGCTGCTGCCAGGCCCGTAATCTGCCATGGGCCCCCGTACCGCCTCCTCATGCTGCTGCCAGGTCCAGAGTCTCTCATGGGTCCCTGTACGGCCTCCCATTGCTGCTGTCTCCATCGCCACACTCTGCCATGTGCCACTTTCAGGTCTCCTCACACTGCTGGTGTGTTCCATTTTGTCATAGGGAGCTGGCAGATTACGGGCCTCCCGATGCTGCTGCCAGGCCCGTAATCTGCCATGGGCCCCTGTACCGCCTCCTCATGCTGCTGCCAGGTACAGAGTGTCTAATGGGTCCCTGTACGGCCTCCCATTGCTGCTGTCTCCATCGCCACACTCTGCCATGTGCCACTTTCAGGTCTCCTCACACTGCTGGTGTGTTCCATTTTGTCATAGGGTGCTGGCAGATTACGGGCCTCCCATTGCTGCTGCCAGGCCCGTAATCTGCCATGGGCCCCCGTACCGACTCCTCATACTGTGACGTTGCAACAAGGTGGAATTCAACCCTACATATGTTAACCGCCTTTACGAACAGCGAAAGGCCATCACCGATTTCCTGATGTTACAAGCGGATAAAGGTACTCCCCTGTGTAACTTAGATGTCAGCCATTGGCAGCTCATGCGTGACACCTGCCGCTTGCTCAGGCCCTTTGAGGAGGCCACGCTATTCGTGAGTCGGCAGGACTATGGGATGAACGACGTCATTCCTCTGTTGCACGTCCTGGAACAAATGCTGTTAACAATGGCTGGTCAGGGTGCGGTAGACGTGGCGCACAGATCTCAACGCCACATGACCCCTGTGGGGGCAGGACAGGAAGAAGAGGAGGAAGTAGAGGAGGACATTGGTGCTCAGGAATTATTGAGTGAAATGGGTGGTTTTTCCACTCAGCGGACAGGAGTGGAGGAGCAGGAGCATCTGGTAGAGGAGGAGGAGAAGACAGAGGACCCAGACGCACCGTGGCAGTATGCTGTGGAGATGGAGGCAGGGAGCCCCTCGCATTCCTTGGCACAAATGGCCCATAGCATGCTCGGTTGCTTGCGTAGCGACAGCCGAATAATAACCATCAGACAGAGGGATGACTTTTGGCTGTCCACCTTGTTGGACCCTTGCTACCGTTCAAAAATGGTGGCCTTTTTCACACCTGCTGAGAGGGAGGCCAAAATAACGTACTATAAAAACCACCTATGTAGTCAGTTGGTCTCTGCCTTTCTGCGCCAACGTCCATCCTCAGACACTGTGGGCCCTGTGCACTCGCGTTCCGCTGCCATGGCAGCAGGGGAGGGGTGGGGTGGTAGGAGCAGTAGCAGCTCCACCAGCAGCAGCTGCCTCAGTCTGCAGTCGATGATGAGTAGCTTTCTTCACCAGCGCAGTGAGGAAACTACTAACCAGCCGCAGCAGCATCATCAGGTGGACCTGGAGCAGGACCTCAAACAACAGGCTCGGGCCTACTTGGACAGCACCCTGCCAACCGAGGTAGACAATCCCCTTGACTACTGGGCAACGAAACTTGACCTTTGGCCCCAACTAGCTGAATTTGCCCTTGAAAGGCTGTCATGCCCGGCCAGTAGCGTGGCATCGGAGCGCGTGTTTAGTGCGGCAGGAGGTACTGTAACTCCGCGGAGGACACGACTGTCCACCCAAAGTGTGGAGAGACTCACGTTTGTGAAAATGAATCAGGCGTGGATTAGTCTGGATTTCAAACCACCAGTTCCTGACACAACTGACTAAATCCGCCATGAATCATGCCCCAAACATGTTATTTTTAACATAGGCCTCTGTATGGCCTTCAATTTAAGCTGCTTACGCTTCGCCACTCTGCCATGGGCCCCTGTACCGCCTCCTCTTGCTGCTGCCAGGTCCAGAGTGTGTCATGGGTCCCTGTACGGCCTCCCATTGCTGCTGACTTCATCGCCAGACTCTGCCATGTGCCACTTTCAGGTCTCCTTACACTGTTGGTGGGTTCCATTTTGTCATAGGGTGCTGGCAGATTACGGGCCTCCCATTGCTGCTGCCAGGCCCGTAATCTGCCATGGGCCCCCGTACCGCCTCCTCATGCTGCTGCCAGGTCCAGAGTGTGTCATGGGTCCCTGTACGGCCTCCCATTGCTGCTGTCTCCATCGCCACACTCTGCCATGTGCCACTTTCACGTCTCCTCACACTGCTGGTGGGTTCCATTTTGTCATAGGGTGCTGGCAGATTACGGGCCTCCCATTGCTGCTGCCAGGCCCGTAATCTGCCATGGGCCCCCGTACCGCCTCCTCATGCTGCTGCCAGGTCCAGAATGTCTCATGGGTCCCTGTACGGCCTCCCATTGCTGCTGTCTCCATCGCCACACTCTGCCATGTGCCACTTTCAGGTCTCCTCACACTGCTGGTGGGTTCCATTTTTGTCATAGGGTGCTGTATGGCCTCCCATTGCTGCTGCCTCCACCGCCACACTGTGGCTCCACACTCTGGTTTTGGCCCCGTGACTGCCCAAATGAGTGAAGGGTGCGGTGATTCTAAGATCGACGGCACTCATCTGCATGTCATACTGACTGACAGTATTATTTCTCTTCCCCAGCAGACTCCAAGGGCATTTAAATTAAAGGTACAGTGTTCTGCACTAATATAAAGGCTCTCTGAAGCCTAGAAACCCTTTTTATAAGTTAAATTCGCAGCGAATATATTCGCATCGAATCGAATTTATTCCTCGAATTCGCCGAATCAGCCAAATCGAATTTTTGAATACTTCGCTCATCTCTAATCATATCCACTACAGGTCTATTGCTCATCACTTGCCTATGGGGCTTTTGCATGCCCAGCGTCACCATGGACGATCTTGTCATTCTCTCTTCATTCCTTTCCTTGGTGGTGGTGAGGTAACCATTCGTGTTTTGGCGTATTATGCCAAACATGTCCCTTGATGTTTGTACTTTTATACTGCAATAAATTATTTTTTGTCAATCACTCAATTTTATAGGCTGCAGTTTGTCCTCATTCGGACCCCCTTGACCCGTGGGTTCTTCACCCACTGTGTTTTTTTTTCTTCCTACTCCTCTAATGTATTCCAAGAAAAAGATTTACTAGGTTTTTAATTTATTTATTTTTAACTGTACATTACAGGACACAGGATTCAGTAGTTTGAGACACTGGAACATCCAAAAGCAATTTAACAGAAGCACAGGCAACCTAGAAAACAAATGGGTAACAGGCCTACAAGAACAATCAGGGAAAGATTGGAGACAGGGCCATACAGGGCTGTCTCAAGTCAACAACCACTGAGACCTAAAAAGCAACCTAGCAAGATTAACTGGCAGAATAGCGACTCAGAGAAGCAGATGCCTGATGCTAAAAATCCCAATAATCACTAGTCTTTCTGCTAAAGATCTAGCACAGGACATAGTTTCCTTCTTTCCAGTCACGTGACTGGAAAGAAGGAAACTATGTCCTTAAGATCATAAGCCTGAATAAGGAGTTACAGAATCCAGTGATTGGCAAAGGAGTGAGAAGAACTGTCTGGAATGATGAACCAAACTTATCTAATGAAAAGGAGATAGCTAGGGGTATGGGCGGCAGCCAGAGTGCATTGACGCTTGCCTGTAGAGCTCTGGAACATCTGGCTTACAAAAGCTAATCACAGCAGTGGAAGGTATAGTTTCTTCACCTCCTGAAGGTATTGTACCAGGGGGAGCTGAGCCGCAACATGCAGAAGTGCAGAATGAAGGACGGACCGAGAAAACCCAGTTATTCACTCCACCAGCGGGACGGACATTCCAAGATGGTGCCAGTCACACTGCTTCTCACACCGCTGCAGCAGAGCGCCACAGAGCCTACAGTAACCTTTCTCCCTCAGAGCTGGCAAGCACAGGTACTTTCCTTCCCCCTTCTGCCAATAATAGACCTTATAAACAGAAGAGAACCGAGGGCACAGAAGGGCATCACTCTGGGCCTGGGAATGGATATGGAAGTACAAAAGGACACAAATCATGGGGGAGATGGGTTAAATTCTTTCCCCACTCTTGGTAAGACAGTAATTGACTCCAAATAATAACAAAACCCTGTGCCAATGAAACTAAATGTCAAAATAAATAAAAAAACTAAGCTGCCACCATACATATATAAAATCTTCTGTAGGGGGCGCTATCTGACCTCAAGCACAGTGATTAAATTAGAACAATCAAGTGCACAGAAACCTAAAGTTAACTAAATCAGCCGCCCGGCCAATGGCCGTTTGGCGGCCGGCAAAACCCCTCAGCGTTCTGGGTGGACGCCATATGGCGTCCTCCCGGACATGCGCAGTTTGCGTGCCTGCAGAGCCGCGCAGCGGCGCGATCTGTCACCGGCCATGTACCTCGGACACAACCAATGACAGATCTGAGTACCGGCCCCGTTGCCGGTACCATGTGACCAGCTGTGACCAAATCACAGCAGGTCACATGACAGTTGTATACAATGGATGGCTTCATTCATGCCATCCATTGTATACTAGTGTGTCTAACTGTGATTGGTCACAGCGATCACATGCACAAGCTGGGCCAATCACAGCCCAGCTGTGTCATGTGATTAGCCGTGACCAAATCACAGCTAAGCACAAAAAACCCCCCAAAAAAACCCTGAATGAATCGGCCATTCAGGTAAATGCTTGCTTATAGCAAAGTAATTCTTTGCTATAAACAAATTATGTAAAAAAAAAAAAAAAAAAAAAAAAAAAAAATACTGATCACTTCCCCAAAGTAGTACAATGTTACTATGGTAACATTGTACTACTTTGGTCATAGTGAAATATGAAAAAAAAAAAAAATCTTAAGAAAAAAATTAAATTAAAAAAAAAAAAAAAATTGTATATATATTTTTTTTCATACTGTCACCAGTTAGTGTCCCTGATCACCGCCATGCCAGTTATATGATGACGCTGTACTGCACTGGTGACAGTATGTTAAAAAAAAAAAAAAAAAAAGTGAAAATTATTTTTTTCCGAAAAATTATGACAAAAAAATACAACTTCAAAAAACTCACCATGCCTCTTATGAAGTACGTCGGACTGTCTACTTTGCAAAAAATGGTCATTTGGAGGATATCTGTACTGTTCTGACATTCTTGGACCTCAAGAAATTAGATTGGCCGTCAGTACTTCAGGATTGATCAATTTTCAGATCTATACCATAGTTTGTGAACTCTATAACTTTCCTACAAACTAAATAATACATCCTAATTTGGGTTATTTTCACCAAAGACATGTAGTAGAATACATTTTGGCCTAAATTTATGAAGAACAATTATTTATTTGCAAACTTTTATAACAGAAACAAAGAAAAACTTTGTGTGTTAATTTAGCAAAAAATAAAAATTCCAGTGGTGATTAAATACTACCAAAAGAAAGCTCTAGTTGTGTGAAGAAAATTATAAAATTTTAGTTTGGGTAGAATGTTGTATGACCACGCAATTGTCATTCAAAGTGTGAGAGCGCTGAAACCTGAAAAATGGCCTAGGCAGGAAGGGGGTAAAAGTGCCCAGTATGGAAATGGTTATATGTACACTAATATTGTTTATGTATTGCACACTTTAAACAAAGAATTTAATATCCATAAATCATCCTATTGGATCCATAAAAAAAAACGTATTTGACAATGTTGTTAGGTGCAATTCTCCTTCACCATGACATATCCTCCGACCTGAACAACCTAAGACCCATCTCCCTACTGCCATTTAACTTTAAACTCCTATAACTCTTAGTCTACAATCGCCTAAGCTCCCATCTCACCGACCACAACCTTCTCGACCCTTTACAGTCCAGCTTCCGCCCCCCCTACACTCCACCGAAACTGCCCTACTCAAACTCACCAATGACCTAACAACCGCCAAAACCAATGGCCACTATACTATACTCCTACTACTTGACCTCTCTGCGGCTTTTGACACTGTTGACCACCCCCTCCTCCTCCAAAAACTGCACTCTTGGCCTCAGAGACTCCGCTCTCTCCTGGTTCTCCACCTATCTATTGCAGCACTCCTTCAGTGTTACCTATAACGCTGCCACCTCCCCTTCACTCCCACTGTCGGGGTCCCTCAAGGCTCTGTCCTCGGACCCCTCCTCTTCTCCATCTACACCTCCTTCCTTGGCCAATTGATAAACTCACACGGCTTCAACTACCATCTCTATGCCGACGACACAAGTCTATCTCTCTGCCCCTCACCTCACCCCCTCAGTCTCTGATCAGATCACCAGCCTACTAAGTGACATATCGGACTGGATGTCACTCCACTTCCTCAAACTCAACCTTTCCAAAACTGAGCTTCTAGTATTCCCCCCAACCCATGCCCCCCCCCCCCCCCCGACTTTTCCATCAGGATCAACAACACTACCATCAGTCCCACCCCTCACGCCAGGGTACTAGGTGTAATCCTAGACTCATATCTGTCCTTTCAGCCCCAGGTCCAATCACTGACAAACTCATGTAGACTTCACCTCTGCAACATCTCCAAGATACGACCGTTCCTAACCTCAGAAACCACTAAACAAAAACTCATCCACTCCCTTATTATATCACGCCTTGACTACTATAAGTTCCTCCTCACTGGCATACCTCATCGCAGGCTATCCCCACTCCAGTCCATCATGAATACTGCTGCCAGACTCATTCACCTTACTAACCGCTCTGTATCTGCCACCCCTCTCTGCCAATCCCTCCACTGGCTTCCAATTGCGCAGCGGATAAAATTCAAAACACTAACACTGATGTACAAAGCCATTCATAACACTGCCCTTAACTACATCACCGACCCTGTCTCTAAATACCACCCAAACCATACTCTCCGCTCCTCACAAGACCTCCTACTCTCTAACTCCCTTGTCTCCTCCTTCCATGCTCGTCTCCAGGATTTCTCACGGGCTTCACCCATCCTCTGGAACTCCCTACCTCATGCTATCGCCTACCCTGCTCACTTTTAGGCACACTCTGAAAACTCATCTCTTCAGGGAAGCCTACCCTGACCCCGGCTAACTACTGGAATCCCCTACTCCCCTAACCATTCCATCCCCCACAGCTAATTACCTCTTGTACCACTATCCCCTCCCTCCTAGATTGTAAGCTCCAAGGAGCAGGGCCCTCTAATCCCTCTTGTATTGGACTGTATTGTTACTGTACTGTCTCCCTCCATAATGTAACATCTCTGTTTAGATAGGAAGACACTTGTCTTGTGGTGAATGCTCCAAACTCCTCTTAGGCGTCCACAATACACACACCGGACCCAAAGATAGAAATAGCATATAGTGTATTACGGTTAGTAACCATTTGCCGCCCGGCCTATAGCCGTTTGGCGGCCACAAAAATGCATTACCTTTCCGGGGTGTGCGCCATTTGGCGTCCTCCCGCACATGCGCAGTTCGCGCGGTTGCAGTGCCGGCCATGTACCTCGGACACGGCCCATGACAGATCTGAGTACCGGCCCCTGTTGCCGGTACCATGTGACCTGCTGTGACCAATCATAACAGGTCACATGACAGTTGTATACAATGGATAGCTTCATTCATGCCATCCATTGTATACTAGTGTCTAGCTGTGAATGGGCACAGCAGGTCACATCCAGATGTCATGTGATGTGATTAGCTGTGGCCAAATCACAGCTAAGCAC